TTAATTTTAAGACAAATATTTTGGCTGCTCTTCATTTTGTGAAAATGAAGAAATGGAGCTCTTCTACTGTAATAGAGAGGGACATCTTGGATCAAGTTGCCCGGGAAACTGCGACCATTGCTATTTCACATAACTGAGGTGCAGGGAGTGATATCGCCTCAGAATTGCTTTGCAATGAGGGCTCTGTGTCCTCAGAAATTAATTTTCTCATTTAACACTGGCAACATCATTTAGGTTCCACAAGATTTCCATAAAGCTCAAAGGGTCAAGAAAAACTACAAATTGCAAAATTTCTTTTAAAAGTGTTCAGAAAAGGAAGCAAGGAAAAAGTTTTTTTCACAATGTGGAATTTTTAAGTTTTAGAATTGTATTTATACTTTTATATGTAAATTGATAACTAACTCAGGTTCTGTGCCTAGAGCTTTTATTGCAAACCAAGAACAAAAAATGGCACTTTCTAAAATGGTTATATTAATAATAGATTTCACAAAAGTGTATTTCACAGTAATAGGAATCAAGTAATCAAGGGTAAACCCTCATAAAATAGACCTAATTGGGGAGTGCATGTTGAAGGGTTTTTTTTCTTTTTTCTTTTCTTTTCTTTTTTTTTTTTTTTTTTTTTTTTTTTTTTTTGTGGAACTGGAGATTGAACTCAGGCCCTTGCACTTGCCAGGAACTGCTTATTCTACTGAGCCATCTCCCCTGCCCTGTTCAAGGTTTTTGAGCCCCATTTTTTCGGAATGGTCCGAGGTGAACTATGTAGAGTTGTAATAAAGAACCCAGACAAGCAGTGGGCACACTTGGAGCACGGTGACTGTCCTCCTGCCCAAGCTGGAAGTTCAGTGGCAGAATGCAGAATCCCCAGCCATGAGCATCGTTGCTGTGTCCCTGAGCCCAATGAACTCTAGCAGAAAGGGAAGTGGCTTATTCTGTGGCTGCGATCACTGTCTTTTTTGCTTCACATTCCACTGTAAAAATAATTAGGCCCAATTAACCCTGAACTAACTCCTGAGCCTAACAAGCACTGGGGAGGGTGAGAGAAAATCATTCATTAGGGACTGAGAGGCCCTGCAGATTTCCTTCTGCCTGACAGGAGACAGTTGTCCCAGAAGTAGTTTTGGTGTCACGTTATGATAGCCCGAGCTATACTATCCTGAAGGTACAAATAAGATCCAGGGAGCCCCACCTCACCAGAAGGCCCACAGCTGCCAAGGTGAGTGGACATTTGGGTTACTTCATTTACTCAAGTGTGCCGGGAAATTTTCCCTCCAAAGTGGATGTATTAGCCAGACTGGTCACCACCCATCCCTCCCTTAGGGCAGTTCTGGGTGCTTGTTCAGAGAGGGGAATGTCATAGGCAGCAAAGTTAGACAAAAGTAGCATAGAAAGTTGTGTAGGGCCTGGCCTATGGAGGAGCCAGCCCAGAAGACCAGATACCTTTTACAACTACTGGGAGACAGGCACTGCTAGTTTGGCCCAGATCTCAAGACCAAAGATAAAATAAATGCATCCACATCCCTCTTGTGTACAAAATTGTTCTTGACTAACCGGGTCTTTGGTGAAGAGCACCTAGGTAGCTAAGAAACTTCCCTTGGCTTCTGATCTTTAAAAGGCAAGAGTAGGTCAGTGAGATAACTCAGCAGACTAAACGCCTGTTTTGACAAGTGCAGGGACCAGGGTTGTATCAGTTGTCACTCAGGCAGTGCAGACCTTGGTCCCGAGGCATGCTGGGCTGGTAACTGAATTAAAGCATCGTAGCATAAGCCTGTAATTTCAGCACTGGGGTGGCTCTGAACAGGAAGATCACTAGTGGTCCGAGCTACAAGAGTCTGTACCAAATACATAAAATAAAAAAATAAGAGAGAGAGAGAGAGAGAGAGAGAGAGAGAGAGAGAGAGAGAGAGAGAGATCACAGGGCAGCATGAGAAGAGCCCAGTTCACAGGAGAAGGTCTCGGAAGCGCTGAGCGCCTGTCTTTCTGTGCAGAGTGAGATGGCACCAGCGATCTCTGGCTGCTGGCAGCGTCTGTTTGTTCGTGCCGGGAATCGGAAAGAGGCACGGCTCTTTCACATTTCAAAAAGTTTTGTTTCCTTTTACCTCGAATTTTATATGAAAGCTGCCTCTATCAATATCATTTCTTGTCTTAAAATTTAAAAATTTTGAGAAGTTTTTAAAGGACCTTTTCATATTTGATGCCAGTCCAAAGGTTGTATGTGCTTGAGTTCAGCAAAATAACCCACTCGAGAGCAATAGTCCATAATAGCAGTGAGTTATCAGCACATCCGGCAATTGCCGACGCTATGGACTTGAGCCTTTTACGGCTCAGCATATTAATATAACTTCATTTTTTCTATTTGTCGTTACACTAAAGGTTTGTACTAATATTGTTTAGATAAGATATCATGCCTTTATCTTGTCCTCTGAATAACTATGATGAAGACAACAATATGCAATGTAGCAATTATTGTAACTGTCCTACTAGCCTGTTCTGAAACTGTCTCACTGCTATTTTATCTTTTTTTTTCATTAAAATGAATAAAAAATGAAAAGTTAATTTCTGGTTCTGTTTTGCATTTCAAAATGAGCTCAATTTATGTTTTTTAATGTTATAAATTTCCTGTTTCCATTTCTGTTTAATTTTAGATTTGTATTTTTATATCCTTGCATAAATTTTCCACATGTATACATGCAATGTTATATTAGTGTTGTTTTTTATTTATAGCTTTTTGAGGTAGGATACTGCTGTGTAGCACAGGATGGACTTAAAGTTGCTGTGCTCCTCCTGCTTTAGCTTCCTGAGTGTTGGTTTTGTATGTATGAGCCATCATGCCTGGTCTTTTAATACATTTGTAAATTAATTTAATATTAGCCTGTTTCTCAGGAGAACTCATAAGAATGATTGAGCAGAAATATTATAGTTTTTCTTTAAAGAGCAGTGTAATAAGAAATTACTCACTTTAATTGCATCCTAGTGCTTTCAGTGAGTGGCAATAATCTCATTTTATATTTGGGAATATAGCCCAGGATAGACGTTCTTTTCTGAATGAATACTTTGGTGTGAGATCCAGGTGTCATTTAATGTCTATCTAAATCCAAGGATTAAATTTTAAAGTAGTTCACTATAGCTTTTCCCAAAACAGCCTGGAAAATGAATGCCTTCTCCCTTTTCTGATATTCTGACTTAGTGAAAAAGCAGGAGTCTTTAGTATGTGCCTCAAAACTGGTCCTAAATATCAATGAGAGTTGTGGAGTTTGAACAAAAAAAAAAGGGTTGGAAAAAAGGATAGCTCATATTCTGACACACACAAACAAAAAATTTACAGGAAAACTTTAAAGGCCTATCAGGATGTTGCCACGTATGGAGGTGCAATGGCTGCTAATAGATGACATTTTTTGACTCAAAACTGGATTACCTTTCCTGATTTATAGCCAAGGCTGCTGGATTAATGTTGTGATATTTTGTGTGGTGGTGTCTATTATCTCTGCTGCATTTTAAGGGAGAATAATCTTCTTTGCTGGGGACTGCTTGGAAGTAGTTGAATATCTTTTTCCAGGTTGAGGTCAGCAGGTGCCAAACCTCCAGGCAACTACTGGTTTGCGTGATTATTTCCTCAGAGACTTTAGGACAAAGAAATCTAAGTCAGACTTCAGATATTCCATGGCAAACATGAGTGTGAGCACACAGAAAACTAGTCTATATGCTGTGCCCTCACATGCAAATATGGATTATATCAACAACAGAATTAATTGTACTCTGAAGGAAATGTCCACGATTTGATATAAATTCTAAATAAGGAATTGGAGCTCTCAGATGCAAACACTAACTAAAGTTTCCATAATTTGCTAAGTTGGGTGAGCTACATGTAAAAGAGGCTGCAAATTTCAATAAAATATTTTTCCACTCATATTATGAAATCATGACCCTGTCTTTGAGGGATCTCTTTTTATGCCAATATTGTCTCAACCAACTTTGCTAAAAATGGTCAGATTGGGGTGCTTTATTCTTCAAAAGCCATCGCTGTAGGATAGCAAATGGCACCAAATTGTCCCCCTTCTCCTGGTCCTGTTTGGTGAAGGTTAGCGTGCGGAGAAGTGAGCCTGGCTACCTCGGGGGCTACGAGGTCTCTGCGGGAACTAGAACTCTGCTCAAGCCTGGTAGGAAACCATCCCGCGCTTGCTCTAGCACGCTGTCTCTGGTTCTGCCAATTATCATCTAATATGTTTAGGTAAGAAATTTTATCGTGGTGGGTTTTACCTGACTCAACTGTACTGTTTCGTTGCTCTGTAGACAGTGACACGCTTTGACTTCATCGTGAATGCTGGAAAATTGTTGGGTATTTATAATCCTTGAATCACAGAATCAGTTTGGGGTACAGAAAATGTAGAAGTAGAAAAATAAAGTTTAAAAAATCCCTGGAAAATGACCTGCTCCCCAAATTAGAAGCAGAAAGAAATGCTGACCAAAACAAGATACACCGTGGAAGCGAGAATGTGGCCACACATAACTCTAGCTGAGGATGCTGGAAAAACAGGATTCAGAAGTGTCTCAGGGGATTGCATAGTAGGCAACAGGTTAAGCTGGACCTGGAGATGTTGGAATTGGAGTATCAGAGCAGGACAGAATGAAAACAGGGAGAAGCTCTGTCAGGGGAAGTGGGCTCAATTAACGCTGAAGGAAACTGAATGTAGGTGGAATATAGAAATATTTGAGAAAGTAGATTAGTTGTCTAGTATGGAGGGAAATACAGCTTCTGGGATAAATTGATGGCTTCTGAGTTATCCCTCATGTTGACATTTGAGGCTGCATAGACTAATGCACATGTAGTAAAATAATATATCTTATTTACAAAAATGCACACTATTACATATAACAGGTCTGTCACTTATACTCAAAAAATTATTGTGTTATCAAATATTTTGTGCAGATACATGTGACAATTACTGATGCTTCCTTCAGAAAGGGGTTTGCTGAATCAACCTTTTCTGTTAGTGCTATAAGAAATGATTTTGAACCTTGTCAAGGGGACAGTCCTTGCCTTTCTTATTGGACTTGGCACTTCAGGGAACACCGTTATTTTTGTAAGTCATATACGCATGTATTGGGGCGCTGAGAAGAAAGCCACGCACCTTATTCTCATCCATTTGGCCTCCACAAGTATCATAATGCTTCTGTTTAAAGGCATTCCAAGGACAATAGCAGCTTTTGGAGTGAGACACTTCCTCGATGACACAGGCTGTAAGGTCGTGTGCTACCTGGAGCGGGTGGCCCGGGGCCTCTCCGTCTGCACCAGCAGTCTCCTCACGGTGGTCCAGGCCTTCACCGTGAGCCCCAGTCACTCCAGGTGGAGGAGGCTCCAGCCCAGGTCTGGGTGGTTCATTCTTCCTTTATTTCCCTTCTTCTGGATATTTAGTTTTTTGGCAAACATTAACTTACCCCTTTACATCACAAGTACTAATGTGAACACATCAGAAGTTACCACAAATGACTTCTATTGTTATTTTCAGCCAGAAAATGAGAAGGTAAGATGGATCATTCTTGGTACCATGGCTTTCCGGGATGCTGTGTCTCAGGGTGTCATGTGCGGTGCCAGCGGCTACATGGTCTTTCTTCTCCATCAGCACCATCAATGTGTTCTCCAGCTGCGGAGCTCCAAGGTCCTCTACAAAACTTCTGCTGAGATCAAAGCTGCCCAAAGTGTTCTCCTTCTTATGCTCTGTTTTCTGCTCTTTAATTGGGCAGATTGCATTTTTTCTCTACTTGTGAATTCATTCTTGGAGAATAATCTCATATTAAATGTTCGAGAATTTTGTACACTGGGTTATGCAATTCTCAGCCCATTGGTACTGATTCACAGAGATAGACATATGACAGAATGCTGCTTCACTCAGGGAAGGAGAAGGAATTTTAGAAGACATTTGTCCCCTGTATCCTTTCAGTAAATAAGTTTGAAATATCTCTTACTTTTCATCTTCTCTTTGTGATAAAAATAAAGTGAAAGTAGCTGGGAAATATTAAGCTATATTGTCAGACAATGGTGGAGATTAGGGGGCAGGCTGGGTGATGTTGCAGTCAGTGATTGGGCAGGAGGCGGACGCAAGGAGGCAAGATATTGTGCAGGGGTGTGGGAAATTGTAATTTGAAGGAGAAGGAGGAGACGGAGCAACATACGGAGTCCAGTGACCTGTGCCATATTGGATTGCCGCTATGATGACTCAGTAGAAGTTTTGTTAAGCCACAGAAAACCCATCATTAGGGAGAACACAAAGGCCACTGAGAGTGTGATTGCTTGCTGTGAGAGATACTCATTAAGAAGGAAACAAAAGGTAGAAGATTTCCATTGTTTTGTGTCTTTTCTGAGTTGTAGACGATTTAAATAAATTTTTTAAACTTAATTAAATAAAGCAAATTGATTAAACGTCACCTTGGTCATAGTTTGCGTTCTGCTTCAAGACATCAAGTCTCGTTGATTTACACTGGCCAATGACATTCTTTACTCCGTTTATATTTTGGTTTTTCGATAAATCTTTGTGTTTTTATTAGGTTGCCTCTAATGTAAATGTTTCTGTAGAATTTATAGTTCAGTTATCTAGCTGGTATAGTGGACAGTGTTGAAAATTTAGGTTACTTTATGAAAATTTCACATATTCACACTGGCAACTTGAGAGTTACTATAGAGAGACTGGGGCCCCATTCTCAATAATGTTTCTCTACATTTCTTTTAAGATGCTTTGTCATGCACGATAGGTAGCATGCCAAGTGGCTTTTACCATTCAGAGTCTATAGACTTTTACCAGTCAAGTAGAATAATAAGGTGGATTGTATGAGACTTGTGCCCTTGCAAGCTGATGTAATATTTAAGTAGGCCTGAATACTCCCCCATTTTGGTGAATGATCTCATTCTAGTTTCCAAAACCCCAAAAGACCTATAAAAATCAGCTGTACAGTGTTTATCACAACACTAACCATGATCGACTACAAAAATCTGAAAATCAACACTCAAGAGTACATTATGTACAAAATCACGCTGACTCTTAAGTACTACTTCATTATATAGTAGAAATACTGGGCCTGAGTAAAGTCTTCCAGTTTCACCAGATCCTGTGAAACCCCTCATCTGACTGTTCACAGGGAAACACGTGGTCTTTAGCAAATATTTTCAGCCATAAGTGGGATCACTAAGTCCCTGGACTGTGTGAATTTGTTCTTCCCCACTATTGATTTACTTTAGGACAGGGGTGGAGAACCTATGGCACTTAAGCAGCAGTTGGTTTGTTGTGATCACTGAAAACTCTAGAAGGTTTTCCAGCACTACTCTAGGAGATGAGGGCAGGGTTTTGTATACAAGAGTGTGAGGAAGAATTTCCATGTACATTTTAGGTCATGTAGCATGTCTCCACATGAGAATCCACATTGTACCTGATTCCAGGAGTTCTAGGTCTATAAATCAGCTCAGATATAGAGGGGAATGAGGAGGCATAACTCACAACAGCTAAGCTGTTCATACAACCTCAATTCTCTCCCTCCAGTGGATGGATAAGAAAATGTGATGTATATATGAGGGTACGCTATGAAGGCATAAAATGTAATGCAGTTATGTCATTTGCAGTAAACCATGGAACTGTGGTCTGTCATATCACACAAATTGACCTGAACTTAGAAAGTGGTAGGTTTTTTCTTATATGAACAATTAAAACATGCATAAATATGTCTATGCAGATATGAGATCAAGGAAAGTTGGATAGGTTTAGGAGGCAATATTAGAAGATGGGGAAGGGCTCAGATTAGGAGATAAAAGGCAGAAGATGAGACTAAAACTGATCAGGATGGACTACCTATAGGTACCCAAGTCCCTACATAAGACTTGCTATTCTGTGTCATTCTTATATATTAATAAAATAAATGCTAAAAGGAAAACAATCCATGTGTTTTTCAGAGATCTGCACATTTGTGTTCCTTAAAGCAGTTTCCACCAAGAAGAAATGGCAACTCATGTGACATCACATGATATATGGATTCAAACATGTGTCGCATGTGTGTGTGTGTGTGCGTGCACACACACACACACACACACACACACACACACACAGCATAATGGCACCCAGAAATAGTCCTATCATTTGAAACCACATGGATTGAAATGGAGACCTTCTGTTAAGTGCAGCCAGTCAGGCCCAGAAAGGCTGTCAGACCTCAGGGTGTGGGATATAGATGAGGGAGTTTGGGAGCACTGTGTTTAGTAATTGAGCGGGGAAGGGCAGATAGGGAAGATTGCTCAAAGCATCCAAAGCCATGGTGATGGAAGAGGAAGGGTTTCTCTAGAGTGCTGTACAGTGTAGATAAAGATAATGCACAGTATATTTCAATGGGCAGAATGAAAAGTTCTAAATTTTTTTTCACAGAATAAAGTGATAAGAAATTTAGGAGATACATAAGTCTCTCACGAGTCAAACATTATACATGAACACATAGAGAACTACATCACACAGCAGTCCATTTTGGATGTCAAGTCAGGAAATAAAGAGATGGAAGATAGGAAGAGGCCATGGATGGGGCAGAGACGTAGAAAGAATCAGGATGTACTGTGTGCATGCAAGAACTCCTCATGACAAACAGAACTGTTTTTACTTCAAACCCGTCAAACAGAGAAAGAAACATATCTATTTTATAAATCAAATTCCTGAGAAACAGACAATTCTCAAACTCTATAGACTTCCTGAAATTCCTGACCTATTTTTAAATGTAGGGCAAGCAGAGCAAAGACAGTATAAGTCTTCATCAGCCAGCCTGGCATTTTGATAGGAGAAATCTCAAGAGCACCACAGAAAAGTGTTGTTTCAGTCTGTATAGGATCATGAGAAGACAGCTGGTTCGAAGATTGGTCTCCTGAGCCTATTTTCATAATGTTACACATTTGTAGCAATTATAGTCCTCACAGGATGAATATAGAGGCTTAGAAGTCATAGTATAAGCTAAGGGATGTAAACTTATCTGCAGTAATAATAACCTCTAAGGAAAAATCCTGCCTTAATCATCCAAATATTGAAATAAATATCATTCCAAAGTGCACGTGGATAAAAATGTACATTTTTGAGGTAAGCGTTAAGAAAACCTTTGGAAAAGCAGTTCTGCACAAAAAGGGGGGAAAGACAAATACATCACTTAGCATTTGTGACATCATCTAGCATATTAAAAAGCTCCACTGTGTATGTCTTTAGACGAGACACGTTAAAAATTCCACAGATGGTTCTTCATTAGGTGTCCTCACGCTTTCACAGAACCAACTTTTTAACTCACCGATCCTTTGTAAGTTGTTCTTTATTTAATTGCTTCGCGTTCCTCTGCCATCTACTACGTCTTGATCTCTACAAGTTTTGGATTTCGATAGCTCCTATTTTGCCATGACTTTGAGATGCACCAGGTTATTTATTTGAGATTTCTCTATCTTTGTGACACAAGTGTTCACAGCTCTTATCTTCCCATGCAGAGCGGGTTTAATTCTGTCACATTCATTTTGCCACATGCTGCTGTCATTGCCATCTCATTCTAGGAAATTTTTAACTTCACATCTGTGATCCACCGATTGTTCAGTAGTGTGTTATGTAATCTCTGTTTGCACGCTTTCTTTTGTAGTCCATTTCTAGTTTCATTTGACCACAATCTAAGTGTATTCGAGAGATTATTTGAATTCCTTCGCATTTATTTACTGGGTATTCTGGCCTAAGAGAGTTTATATTGTAGAAATTTTCATGTGCTGCTGACACAAAAGTTGTATTCTGTCTCACTGTATTAAAGACTATGGTTTTCTAATACTTTGAATTTTATTTTAAAAAGTAAAAACAGCATAAACAAAGACAGAATCATAGTAGCAAGCAAAAATACATATGGTACAGAATTTCAAAACAAAAATAAAAATTTAACAATAGTTGTTACATTGCATATTTTTATTGTCAAAACTATTGTTCAGATTAATAGCTATGTGTATGCAAGATTGGTCAAATTATTAAACATTATCACTTTCAATAAAACTTAATTTTTTTCTTCTTTTTTATTTTGTATTTTATTAAAAAAGTATTTTAAAGAGCATATACTACTTAATAAAATATTAGAAATTATAGATAGTAAGAACAAGATGGGGCCAGGGAGATGGCTCAGTAGAATAAGCTCTTCCTGGGCAAGCACAAGGGCCTGAGTTCA